CGGGCCTCGCGACTCTCTCCCTCCCTCTCTCTGTCTCCCCCCCCCCCTCCGGCTCCGAACCGAGGGCCAATCGGCCCTCGCCGCTCTGGCCCCCCTCCCTGCTCGCCGCTTCCCTCCCAAGCGGCGGCGGTAGTTACAGAGCGTCTCCTGCGCACGCACAGGAGACGCTCTTGCACTTTCGGGGGGATTTAAACATCCCCCCGAGATTTTTTTCAGCTTTTTTTATTTTTGTGCACACGTGGGGACTGGCCCACGTGTACATAAATCTCCCCCGGCCCCCCAGCTGCTCCCAGAGCGCTGATTTAGCGATCCGCACTCCGGGGGCAAGTTCGCTATTCGATATATAGATGTTGACTGCTCCCTCTAAGGATTCACTACAAGACCAGCTATCCCTAAGTTTGTCACCTATCACTAAGCTGGGTTTAGCTGTTAACTGAGATAAGTCCAAGTTTACCTCTTATACACTTGCCTGCTTCATCAGTGCAGACTTAGATTCCTCCAGGGGACAGGCGTACCCCCCCCCCATCGCTTGTCTGCGATTAGAACCTTAATTGCAGTGACGTGCTACGTGCTCACGTTGGGGGTGTGGCCCACATCATTGGGGAAAAACCATATGGTTTCTCCTCCGACAATGTGGGCCACGCCCCCAATGTGAGCGAGAGGTGACGCAGCTTCGGGGGCGGAGTTCCCCCCGGGGCCCTATTCCACGGCGGAAATCGGGCCTCCGAAGCGGGGGATTCCCCACCCCCATTTGGCAACCCTAGTTGAGGCTCACATTGCAGTGACTTTAGAGTTCAGGGGGTGTGGTCTTCTCTTGAATCCCATGTGCACATTAACTTCTTGGAACTAAGGACTATTCCCCATGCGCTTTCCTCTTTTGCAGACTTACTCCGCAGACAGACAACACCATTGCCATGTTTTATCTCAACAAACAAGGGGGCACGGGGTCATTGTCTCTCTGCAGAGAAGCTGCAAAAATCTGGAATTGGGCAATCCAGAACAACCGCTCCATTCAGACCATCCATATTGCTGGGGTGCACAACGCTATAGCAGACGCACTGAGCAGGTTCACGCTTCCACAGCACGAATGGTCTCTTTCCAGGAAGTACATCCTCTCAGTTTTCAGGCAGTTGGGCTTCCCTACGGATGACCTATTTGTCACCTCACATAATGCCAAGGCAACCCTCTTCTGTTCTCGAGCAGCCCATGACCCGCAGTCTCTGGGGGATGCTTTTCAGATTCCCTGATCGGGGGGGGCGGTCTCTTATGCTTTCCCTCCTCTTCCCCTCATAGGGAGAGTTCTGGTCAGGATCCTGGCTCAAGGTACCCACTGTATTAGTTGCTTCCTTCTGGCCCAGACCAGCATGGTTTGCAGATCTTCTACTACTATACAAAGGGTGTTACATTCCACTGGAACTGGCAGTAGACCTTCTAACACACGGTCCCCTTGTTGTTCGCAGTCCTCTCCTCTCTCAGAGGGGCAGTTTACAGCTTATAGAGGCAGAAACACCCTTCTTAATATATCACCCCAAAAATCATAAGTACAGGACATTGCCTGGTCCAAAATGGATGGCAGTCAGGAACAAGCCTGGGCAAGTATTTTGGAATGTGAGACAGAGCAGCTAACCGTCTACTGCTCCCTCCATGACCCACAGATATGCATAATTTGGGACAGTAGGTCTCCCAAAAACCTATTGACTCACCTTTGGACTAATGCTATCAAGTCTAATCTGGGAGAACCGGGTTTGAT